ATCCTACAAATACAGAGCCTCTAACTAAAATTATAGCAAATCTGAATGCAAGACTAATGCATTTTGAAACTCTAAATAGAAATGGATTCCCCTTTTGGATTTTTCACTAAAAGCTATATATTAACTAGATGACTTCGAGATGGGTTTTCTTCCTTCCTCTTTCTAAACAGTAGCGTAAGGCCTATTAATATTATGAATATGTTATCTACTTCCCACAGTTACATATGTGGTCTAAGGAAAAACATTAACTAGTTGAGGTAAAAATAGGAGGTGATACGTTTAACCCCTGTAAGAAGGTCAGCCATTAAAACCTCCAGTTCATTCTCCTTGATGAGGTTATAGCATTCAGAAAGGCAGTTTTCAAGTTTAAAAGGTGCCTCTATTAATGTTGTAAGAATTAAGTTTAAATCTCAAGATATAATAATAGGCTCTTCAACTATTTGTTAGTATTTTAAAAAGTATAATATGATGCAAGATTAAAACTTTGAACAGTAGGATCATATGCAAAAATAATGTACATAAGCATCCTAACAGTGGTAAGAGACAAACCAGATTTTTTTCAAATGAGACAGTCAAAAGTCTAAGGAACTGGTGTTGATAAAGGTCCAAATTGTTATCTAACCCAAAGAAAATCTCTTCTGCTTCAAAAAACATTCCTTGTTGGAAGTTTTCTAAATTGTAACTTTCCTGCACTTTCTTCTGGATCTGCATCCTTCCCACACAGAGTCACATGTCACTTAGGGCACAAATGTGTTCACCATCCCTGTCTATCATGCTGTTTGCCAAAAATACTACCTTGATGTGTTTCTATAACTGAACTCTTTTACAAGGATAGATTGCTGTCCTATTGCTCAACCTCCATCCTGAAGGACTAATAGACTGCTTTTGAACTGCTGGTGCCCGCCCTTTGACCTGTCCGGCTTGGGTGGTGCTGTCAGGAGTTAAAACTCCTGCTGGCAGAGTGCTCAGGGACATTGGAGCATAAACTTTCCCTCCATCTCAAGGTGTAGTCCCCAGGGAAGGCTGGACTTCCTTAGAACACTCAATGTCAGAATTTTACAAAGTACACTGAACAGACTAAGATCAGAATGAAGAATGTGGCTGTGCTTCCAAGAGAAAATTCAAAAATAGTTAAGAAGAACAGAAGCATCAAGAAATACAGAAAGTCTGAAAACTTAAATTGATGAGCCCAAGTAGGAGCTATGAAAAATAGGTACATCCTTGTAATTTCTAATTTTCCTGACTATGATCAGAAGTAGAAACAATGAGTCTTGTCTACCATCCAAAATAAAGAGGCCTATTAGCATATACAGGTCTACCCGTGTACTTGACCTGGGTCGGGTCAGGTCACCTCATGATAATTCTGGTCTCAAAGAGATGCAAAGATTATCCCATTTCCTACAAAATCCTTTAGGAATCACTCATGTTGCCATTTATGTCTTCTACTGACACCTGAGACTTGATAAACAGAAGCTGGATTAATCTGATGAGCCACCATTGCCATCTTTTCAGAGAATATATGTCCTAAAACAGATGTTTGATGAAGATGTTGAGGCCACTGTGACATTTATCTGGAGAGGCTGTCTCACTCCATAACGTAGGCTCATACCATTTATCATAATCTTCACCAGTTTTTTTCTAATACAGGCAAGTTGTTCACAATACTGATCAATTTAGAGAATGATTCCCTAAGTGGAAGAGGAGGAGGAGATGATGACTTGTTATTCCCAAGAGCAGGCAAAGAAAAAATTACAGGTTTTCCCAAAATCCTCAGTACCTTTTGGTCATGATGGAAAAGGTCATGTAAATGAAGGTCCAAATGACCATAAAGACAAAATAATTAAATGGATCCCAGAAGAGCTTTTTGGTGTGAGGCAGTGTATCAGGCTGATGCTTCCGACTCACATCTGATGAAGCTAAGATCAACCATGTCAGTTCTTGGAGCAGCAACCTGTGACCTGATATCTCCCTTTTTCTTTATTCCAGAAAGATTTGGCACAGCCCAGAGAAAGAGGCATCTGCTTAGTACGCTGCTCGAGTACCATCATCAAAGTTGAGGTCTCCACTCAACTTGAAGCAGCTGAATACAGAGGTATTGGAATTGAGGCACTCAGTGAGGACGGCACCATAATCTCCAAAGTCTACATATCCCCATCCCTCATATGTACCAACCAATCTCAAGAATCATAGCATTTCTTTCTAAAGAGCATCATTCATGCCAGTTCTGAGAAGAATCCCCAGGAGAGTTCCTCCTCTTCTCCAGAAAGATTCAACACCCACGGAAAGAAAATGTTCACATGCACCAAAAGCCTTGAAGTTTAGACTATGGCTGTGAGAAGCCTCAAGTGTGCATCTCTGAGAAAGTACAGTGCTGTAGAGACATCATAACCCCAAAGGATCCCATAGCTGAGGAAGCCTTGGGAAAGACCACCAAGCTTTCAATGGTTCCTGAGGGTGATCATATAAAAGAAGCCTTTGATAGTTCTAGAACCAGCAGGCTGAGATCAGAAGGTACTCTTCAAGGACTAAGCACCAAATACACTTTTGCTCATGTTCCTTATCCTGAGACATAAGCCATAAAACTCAGAGCAGCCTCTGGGGAATGACCCACTCAAGAACAGGAAACACTGGATGTATCTGTCCGTAGTGAACATCTTGGCTTTGCAGTATGGGCACCAATTAAAGCCTGTGCACTTGTTCTTGTCAGCCATACAAAACCAGGAGGAGAGAACTAGAGCCAAGAACTAGCCAGAAAAACCTAGGACAACCAACTGCACTGACTGAAGTCAGGTCGCACCACCTTAGGGATGGAACACTCAAGTTTTTACACACAATGGCAGAAAAGTTACTAAAAAATTAAGTAAAGAACAAACCTACACTTTTCTTAAAAACTAAGTATACACAAAAAATTACAGTGCAGAGAGACAGGAGCACTAAGATGGTTCAGTATCCACAATGAGCCACAATGAAGTACTAACAGAGTGTTTTGGTCTATGAATCCCCTTTTACAATCTTGCTCTGAATATTTGAGTGCTGCAGAAGGGTGGTTATGCAACCCCAAAAGACACTGCTTTTCTAGATGGTTCTCAGTTAAAGGCCTTGGAGAACATCCCAAGAGCTGGGATCTACAGAGATAATTCTTGAAGAAACAAAGGGTTAGGAAATAAATTGAAAGCACTTAAATCAAGTTAAATTATTAGTAGAAGAAGTGTAGCAGCTTAGCTATTCAGAAAAGCATTTCCTTCAATCAAAATTAAAATCAGATTAAGAGGTGATACCTTTGAAGAGAGCACACATTTTTCTCCATATACTGATTATCTGCAATGATGCATAATGTAACGTGACAAGACTCAAATTTATCACCAAATATAAGATTTTTATTAATTCCAGTTATAAATATTAAATGGGTGGATCAGCCACAACATTTAGGTTAGAAACATGTTTTGACTTATTTAACAACATTTTTGGTCTAAATAAGGGAAAAACTTGTGCTCTCTCTGGATGGGTGATTAAGTCTGCATTTGTTAATACCCACATTTGGTGCCAACTAAAATAGAGCCCAGTCCAGATGTTGCTTCATACATGTCCAGTTGCAACTGCAGTATCAAGTCAGAAGTTGCCCTGTTTAACTTCAGCAAGGCTTTTCTCTGACATCTCTGCTAAATTAGCATCAGACTTAAAAAGATTTTCTCTCAGAAGTTAAACCACAGAGAGTATACAGGCTGCCTTTAAACAAAACTAAGGTTTACCCATTCGCATTTAACATGCCGTTTTCAGGACACGGACACGGACACACCTTGTTTTCAATTTCTAGAGGTGGGGTTTTATTCCACTGTTATAACTTTATAACAAATGACCTTCAAACTGGTTAACACGATCAGAAATGTAAAATAGCACCAAGAAAGGATCATCCTGAAAAGGCATCTATGAAGGGCAGGCTTTAGATATAGATATTTAAATAAAGAGGGAAAGGGAAAACTCCAAAGGTTAGTCTAGCCTCTATGGCGTAGAGCAGTGGTTCTCAGCCAGGGGTCTGGAGACCATGAGGGTCCGCGAAGCATGGCCAGGGTTAGACTCTCTGGGGCCCAGGGCAGAAAGCCAAAGCCCCTCTATATGGGGCTGAAGCTCAGGGCCCTGAGCCCCGTCACCCAGGGCTGAAGATTAAGCGTGAGCAATGTAGCTTCCCCAGGCAATGCTTGCTACCCCATAACACCGGCCCTAGCTTTTATATGCAGAAAACCAGTTGATGGGTGGGGGTGGGCCATGGAGTTTTTATAGTATGTGGGGGAGGGAAGGTCTCAGAAAGAAAAAGGTTGAGAACCTCTGGCATAGAGAACACAAGTCTGATAAGTAGGTACTGTATATAGTAGTTCACTGGAATATGTAATTTACAGATAAACAATGGTGTTCAGTTGATCAAAAACTAAGGCAACGTAGAAGTATATATTATCCAATCATACCATTCCCTTTAAAAAAAAGATGTACAATTATGAACCAATATATCTTTCATGTTAGATATGACTGGTGATAAAAATAGAAGTGGTGTAGGAATTCTATTGTAATTTTAAAAAAAGATGTTTTTACTGTATAGTCAGTAAACTTGTGCACAAGGGAAGTGTCTCTCATCAACTAATTGATCCGTTATTTAATATCTATTAGAAACTGTGATTCCATACAGCAATGTAATTGTATGGTATTGTCAGAATTCAAGTAACATCACAAGCAATGTCCTCTCTATCCTGATCTAATGTCATGGCTCAAAATTAGAGCAGTTTATGAATAATTTAACTTTTATTTCTTATAAACCCAAATTAAAAAACCTAACAACTTCACTCTCCAGATTTTAAGGAATGCAAGCAAAGTAATACCAGATATTACACACATGAAAGGTCACAGTTCATCTTGGACAACAAAGATGATGGCAGTATAAGAACCTATACAGAACAGAATAGAACTATGTGATGATGGGAAATAATAGGAGATATACACAATCCTTTTACCTTTATCTTGGACTTCTTTTGAAAATCGCTCCCTTTCAATAGCTGATTCACGTTCTATCCGCTCAATTTCAGCCAATGCATCCAACTCTACTTCATCATATGGCGTTATAGTTCCTTGTTGCGAAACCTGCTGCTGTGTCTGTACCACAGGAGTTTGAGGTTGTTTTGCAGCAACTGAAGTGTTCTGTTGTAAAACAGGCACTTGTTGTGCCTGAAGGAATGCTGTCTGTTCATGCTGAGGCAAACACTGAGCAGCATTTAGTGGGCGATTAACATCCTGTGGAGTAATGGGTGTTTTAGAAGTCTGTCCTGGGTACTGCACATTAAAAGGAATATCACCCTCTGACACATTACTGTTTTCCAAACCAGAAAGCATATCGTCCTGCTGGTCCATATCTGAAGATCTTACACGAGAGAGTCTTAACGTAAGTTTAGTGGAGTCCTTGGAAGGAGAACTAATGATATCATACATTGCAGCTTTTTCAGTCTGGTCTTTTTCATCCTTGCCTAACTTCATTTTCTTTTGTTTCTTTTGCTTTCTTTCTGGAGAATCTAACAATATGTCTGGGGGTACATCTCTAGGTGATGAATAAGGTGGAGGCTGAGATTGTACGATTAAAGGTGGTCTTGATCCTAGAATAATAATTCAGAAAAACTGAACAGTTATGGTGTTTCGCAGTTTATATAAAAACACACTAAATATACCCTAAATTATTTATTATGTGTATTTCTACAAATATTTGTGCTTACAAAGAGTAAGTGTATAAATAAGATGCATGATGAAGAACATCCTAAGGCCCGATGTAATACAGTTAGTTGCAGCAAAGGATGACCATATTTTCTAGCAACTTATTTTAGCAATCCACATCTAGTGAATAAAGCACCATTCTAGTGAAGATAGCCAGAACTTTTCCCACAGTGCTTATAAGTTCAGGCCAGGATATCAACTATTAAAGATTTAGGTTAATGAAAAGGTAACCTGGTCTATGGGAAAAGGAAGGGTTGAAGGCTCCATAGAGTCTCGTGGGGTCCTGTGATGAAAACTTAATGATGAGCTATAGACAGACAATAGTCACTATATTTATGCATTTCCAAATGCAATAAAATGAAATCTGAACACATCCATAGGTCACAGAAGACTCCCTACTTAAAAATGTTCTTGGAAAGATGAAGTCAGGAAGCATTTCAAAAGCAAAATAAAAATGGCCTTCCTTTACTCTTTATCCCTGAGTATGTCTATTTCTTTTGCAACTTTCCTACTTTAGGGGAGTTCTTAGTCAATTTACCTAGAGGCAATGCTTCTGTCCACAAGTGACTGAGGATATTGTTTCTGCCATTACCTCCAACTTATTTATTTTTCTTTCTAAAACGCATTCATCCCAAGTTTTGAGCAAATTTACATGTATTTTACAAACAGGAACTTTAAAAAAGTGGATAATGTTCACATACACACCTCCCGAATTCTTCACAAATTTAAAAAACCTCTTTTCATCTTCAAGCTCCCTTAATTCTCTGTTCCACAAAAAGCCTACGAGAATAGATAAACTTTGCAATGGTCAACAATTTGAGTTCTGTTGGTCCAGTGTGGGAGTGACGGTGTGGAGAAGTGAAGGGCACAACAGGTCCCTTGCTAAAAAATACCCTGCCATCAAGCTTCCTCCCGTTTAAACATGGGGGCTGTTAGCTTAAGCTTTTCTAATGATACCATGATAGCACTTGAGGAGAGGGGCAGTAGCTAAGGTAGTTACAATTCAAACCACTTAGACATTTATCCGTTAACACTTTGAACTGCATTCAAATGAATTGGAAAACAGACTGCAATTGTAATATGATCTATTCAAGAGACACCACTAAGTAAGCATGAAGCCTTATTCTGCAGATGAAGTTTCTGATTGATTTTTTCCAAGTAGCTCCAAGGACAGCACATTGCAATACATGGATCTAACAATGACAAAATTAGGTACAACTGTGGCATGGTCCACATTCAAATTAAAAGCTCTCTCCACAAATGTCCTCTTTTCCTTTGTCCAGGCTCTTGTGCCTTGCTTTTTCTCCAATTCATCCTGATAGGTGTTCTACAACCTCTTTGCACTAAACATGGCATAAATTGGATTTTTTACACCCGAATCCCTTTTTTCCGTTTCCTCATCGCGACTGTCAGTTACACTATCCTCCCTCCCACTAAAGCCTGCAACCATGAAATTATCTTTGATTCCCTTTCTCCTCACATCCAGACTCTCAAAATCTTGCAGCTATTCAATCCAGCATTTCTCAAATCAGCCCCCATCTTCATCCCCCAGGCCAAAATCCTGGCTTCTGCCAAGGCTGTCTCTCACTCTGCCTTCCATCACTGACTTCAATTCCTGTGATATATAACTTGAGATCCTTTTGACCTCAAGCATAAATATTCCAGAACCTACAAGATTAGTTTACTACAGCATATAGGAAAAAATCTATTACCTGATTATTTCCTTTCTGGTAATGACCCTCTCCCACCACAGGACATAATGACTGTATTTCTCTTTTGGCAAGTACCAGATGTTTCACAAAACTTGTCCAAGGAGCTTACATGCTTGCCTCCATTCCCCACATGCTTCTATTCTCGATCTATTCTCCTTCTGAAGCTGTACTGGAACACTCAATTCTTATTCTTAACAATTATACCTTATTCAATGACATTAAAAGCCTGATTCTCCATTGCCTTTCACCTTATGTAAAGTATTTATACTAGTGCAAAGTGAGTGTAAAACAGTACCATTCTGTGCTTACTTTGCTCTGGGGCATGACTTCTACATAAGGTATAGGGCAATAGAGAATCAGGATTTTTCTATTTAAGAGTAGCCTGAAGAGGCCAAAGGATCTCAGATGAGGTGGACTGGGTTGTGAGATTATTCCAAGAAAAATAATCAGTTGATTTTTTTCCATTCTGGATTCTCACTTCACCACCACATTTGGGATCTAGCAAGCAGTAAGAAAAAATTAATAGACGGAGAAGAAAGAATAAACAAGAGTTTCCCCTTCCCTCCTGAACGGACCGATTCTACTAAGATACAATTTACCAGCTCTTCTCACAAGCAGCATATGCCATGCTCTTTTGCATGTTGAGGCGTCAAGCAAAATGATCTCCTGTTATGTTAGGAAGCATATATGTTTACCTTTGGAATAACTCTGAAGCATGATGAGCAACCTGGCCATTAGGGAAAATATAATAAGGCTCATGCCATAAGAGCAAAGATTTCTGGAGACATTTCTTGATTGTGATGAGGAAGAATATTTTCATAGCAAGGAAATACAGGGAATTAGATATCATCTGCTTGAATGGATAGGTGAAGATTCCAAGTAGGGAGGATAGGTTTGGTTTACATAAGAGTGCTGCAATAATAAACTTTGATACTATGGGGTGATCTACTAGAGATTTGGATGAGCCTGATTTTATAACAGTCTTTAGTGCTGAGACACAAGAAGCAATGGTGGTGGTGGTCTTTTGGTCCAAATGCAGGCCATTCTATAAGACATTCAGCAAATGGGAAAACCTGACTTCCTCCAGTTGATCTTTCTTAGTACCAATAGGATAATTTTGTCCAAACTCTCGAGTAGGCTGAGAGGGTGCAAGGCTTATGTGAGGCTAAGAAACCCTCCATTACTTTGGAAGGGGTATCCAACCTTATTTAGGACTTGCTGCTCAATAAACAAACAATCAGACTCCAGTAATCTGGGATGGGATGCAGAAGCAGGTCCTAAAATAGGACATCCTGCCTGTTGTGGAGAATAAAAGGAAGCCTGTGCAATATCTCCAAAACATTTGAGTCGCACACCCTTCTTGGCCAGTCAGGGGTAAGGATGACAGCTATAGCATCCTTCCTATACCTTCTTAATCATTCTTCCTAATAGCAAAAAAAAAAAAAAAAAGGAAGAGGGTGAGAAGAGTTTTAGACGCTAATTTGGCAATCTGTGAGCCAGACCATCTTTTCCCAGTGATCTTCACTCTACTTTCCTTGCCTTGTCTCTTGCATTACAACTGAATATGAACATATCCCATTAAGGTGTGTCTCAGTTAAGGCTCAGGTCGAACTGAGCTAAGCCCCTCTAAATACCAGCTTGAATACATGCAGGTTCAGGAACCATTATTAGCTGTCTCTCTCTGATGGCTTAGCCAGGCAGGTTTTGTGTTCAGCAACCCTTTTGGGTCAATGACCCTAGCAGAGGTTAGATGAGCTTATGCTCAGGAGACAATCTACTTCATTTTGGCATTTCAATTAAATTTCTTGTTCCTACCACTTGATGATATATTTGTACCATGGTTGTCACATTTTCTAACTGTACCACAGTGTATTCCTTTCTCAGATTATCCTGGAAGAGCCACCCTGATCATGCTCATCTCTAAGCAGCGGATGCTCTGGAGTCTGACCTTTCATCATATTCTCTTTGTTATGATGCCCTGGGTCTGATCCCACACCCTGAAAGGCATCACCGATTTAGGATTCAGATTGCAGAGGGGGGAATCCTACCATCAGTCAGCTTCCTTTTTCAGAGGAAACAGAGGAAATGGATCACTCTGGATGGTACCTTCACCTTCCACTGCATCTCCTACTAGGAACAGTTTCTAGCCCTCAAGTAGAAACCTTTAAGCACTCACACATGCCATTTGGCCAATAGCGTAATCCCTATGCATGGAGCCCATCAGACCTACGACCTACAGGTAAAGATGGACACACTGTGGCACACTGGACATCAGTACCAGAAAGCTGATAAAACTTTGCTGCATTGGAAGGACTCTCATTCTGTGTGTCTATCTTAACTCATGGTGAGGTGATCGACAACGGTTCAGGGATTCTCTTCTTTAAGTATATCAGCCTAGAGTCTGGACAGGGTACTCTGAGTTGCTTACTGAGGGTATGTCTGCACAAGGGGTAAAAACCCCATCTAGTCCAGGTCAGCTGACTCAGGCTCATAAGGCTCAGGTTCTGGGCCCAAAAAACTGCTGTGTAGACATTCTGTGAGGGTGGAGGGTTCCAGAGCTGGGCTCCAGCCTGAGACCAAACGTCTACATAACAATTTTTAGCCCCACAGCCCAAGCCCTAAGAGCCAGAGTCAGCTGACCTGGGCCAGCTGCATCTGTGCCATATAGCTATCCCTACGAATCACAGAATCATAGAAAAGTAGTGCTAAATGGACCCCTGAGAGGTCACCTAGTCCATCCCCTCATGTTGAAACAGGATCAGGTATACCTAGACCATCCCTGACAGGTGTTTATCTAATCTGCTCTTAAAAATCTCCAGTGATAGGGATTCCACAACTTCCTTTGGTAAGCTGCCCCAGTACTTAACTAACCTTATAGTTCGGAACTTTTTCCTAATATCTAACCTAAATCTGCTGCTTCTTGTCATACATTCAGAGGATATGGACAACTGATCACTGTCCTCTTTATTACAGCCCTTAACATATTTAAAGAGTTATCAGGTCCTCCGCTCAGTCTTTGCTCAACACTAAACATGCTCAACTTTTTTAACCTTTGCTCATAGGTCTGATTTTCTAAAATTTCCAGCATTTTTGAGGCTCTCCTCTGGACTCTCTCCAATTCGTCCACATCTTTCCTAAAGTGTGACACCCAGAATTGGACAAAGGACTCCAGCTGAGGCCTTACTAGTGCCAAGTAGAGTGGAACAATCACCTCCCATGCTTTACTCAGGATATTCCTGTTAATACAGAATGATATTAGCCTTTTCTGCAGAGGTGGCTACCACTATTCTTTTCTTCTCTGATATTCTTTTTTTGGATCACAGTCCATGGAGATGTGTCATGAGCTCTGGTATTATTTATCATCCAATATATAACTGGAGAGGAAGTGTAGGGGAACAATCCTGAAGCAGTCTCAGATCTTCCTGAGGGAAGATCAGAAAAGATGCCAGATCAGTTGGCAAATAACCCAAATACCCACTCCTTGGCAAAACACAGAGAATTTATGAATAAAAAGACTATATAAAGATCTAGCTATCACCATTATTGTTACTGTTTATGAAGAACCTGGTTTGGTACTCTTTAGAGAAGGATTTACAGAAGTTTGGGGGAGAATTTTCAATGTAACCCTGCAACATTATTGACTGATAAGCACAGTCTTGTTTACCAAGTTTTGTTGCTTAAGAGAACCCTTGCAAAAGATGTCTCCATCTGTTTCTTGGCTGGCCTGGGTGGAATATGTAGAGGCCCAAACAAATCATCCAGACTCTGACCCCCTTCTTTCAGCACAGTGAGGACCTCTAGACTGGGAACAATTGTGGCAGGGCTCCCCATTTGTAGCTCCAGAAAATATCTCTTAGCAGATGGAGCACCTTTTGTTTGACTCTGCCATGATGGAGAAGAGTAGAATAATGAAGGGATGGAGCTGGATGAGTAGTCCTACTTGGGGAATGATCCACTACACACTTCTCACGATTGTCCCAAAATTTGGCTTTAAAAGAAGATGTGGTAACAGGAACCATAGGAATACTAAGCCATTGTTCTGTTTGCATGATTGTAGACACAGAACCTAAATTGAAGGCAGAAGAAGCATGCCCGAGCCTTGGAACCTTATGGACAAATCAGAGCTGTCTTTGGTATTTGTAAGAAGAGAGGTGCAGCCAAACATCCCAGAGTAAGGGTATTTTTTAATCTATTAAAAAAGGCAAGCAAACTCAATCAAGACAGCAGATATAACTTGCGTCATTTCTTGCCGGAGTTTTCCCCAGTTTAAAGCATTACCTTTTCCCTATTCAAATTCTGTGTCAGCCAGAGAGCGCCTATAATAATTAAACACTGAGGGATAACACTCTTCAACTCTAATTAAATACACAAAGTCTCAGGGTTATCTACATTTTCAAATCATAGAAGCTCAATATCTATAATATCTTCCCTAACAGCCTCACATGTTGAACCAGAGGATTGAGAACCTGGAAACCCTATGGTACCTTGCATGTGATCTCTCTGATAAGCAAAAGTCTAATGCAACCCTTTAGTCCTCCATGGAGGAAACCATTTTCTTTCAATACCAACAACTTCTCTCTCTGTTATTTGCAGGCTTGTCAACAATATTTTCATGGGTAAACATCAAAGACAGCTAAGAGATCTAAAGTAATCGGCATGGACACTAGATGTTCCTTCATCACCAAGAGGAAACTGGTCAATGTAACTACGCTGTCTCCCTACCACACCCAGGCCTAAAAATAGACGGTCAAGCATTAAATGGTCTGAGGACTCAAGTATTATTAGAACTATTTCAGTAAGATTAAGTACTGAGTAAACCATCTCAGTAAGAGATGCTGGCATTTTGGCCTACATCAATAACTCAATACCTCCCTTCTGGACTGAGCAAACAAGAGGTGGGTAGATCCAATATAAAGATTATAGCCCCAAATGCCTCCAATATTTCCAGAACCGTAGTAATTCACACCAACTGGTCCACCACTTCTATGCTTCTGCCACAACCAGTCCAAGTCCAAGCAATCTTACAAGTTGGCTGAAAAATTTTCAAGGTGGGTGACAACTGTGTTTGAGGTGAGGTAGTCTCGATCCACCAAAATGTTTATTAACTGAAACACCTATACTGATCAAGGCTTTGTGGAGGCTATAATGGCAGCAACTAAACTATTATTTTGCCACCTACACAATAAATTCTTTACTCCAACCTGCCAGACTTCAATCACAACTTTTCCCACCAGGTGTTGCACCCATCTTCCTTCCAGCTTCATCTGTCATAGGATATCTATATAACACAATGAACTGTGAAAATCATTTTAGCAATCCTCTGCCTCCCTTCTCTACCCCTATCCTTTGGTTCTCTTACCAATCTCAGTTCTCTCTTGCTCTCTCACTGAGCCATATAGCAAAAATTTTATTTTATTATCTTCCAGTGGAATGGCAGAAAAAAGTATTTTTGCCCCTTTTTATTATTGTGGTATTGAGTTATTAAGTATATGCATAGCTTTGGATCCTCTGCCATACACCAGAACTGTGTACTCCATTCACCGAGTCACCGTCAATTACTGTTATAAAATGGTAAGGAGGCACTCAGGGGAAACAAACACACACACACACACACACTCTAGAGCTTGGTATAAAGAACTACTTTTAGTTTTTTTAAATTATCTTACTAAACTGCCCTCCTACTTTTCCTATCTAGGTAATATATTTAGGCCACATCCACAATAGATATTAAATGGTGTTAACTGACCTGTTTTTAAATTTCTTACATTACCACAATGTCTTTCATCGCAATTAATGCAATAACTGTTTTATGTTATGATACTTTCATAAATATAAAGAAATTAATAACTCAGAGATGTGTTTGAACCATGTTAGCATAGAACAATGGAAATTGTTCTTCTAATACAGTTTATTCCTCAACATGTACAGGGTTTACGATCTTGCTATCCTCCACAGTAGTCTGTTTTAAAATATAGTGAGTCAAATTTTGGTCCTTCTCAGGCTTCCAGTTAACAGGGGACCAAAATAAAATTGTAATTAAAAATATCATTATGTGTATGTAACTTCTGCAGTTTTATCTGAACATAAAATGCTAGTTAGATCAAACTATGTAGCTTATAAATTCACTTGTCTTTTATCATTGGGAAACAAACTCATACATATATATACATATAACCTGTTTTAGTTACAAGAGTACCTTTAGGTGTTCCATCGCTTCCAGCTGGCGAGCACACTGACTGTGGTGACCGCAAAGAAAACGATGCAGCATTCCTTATTGAAGACTCACCATCCTAAAAACAGCGATAATGTGTATTATAAATTTATTTTCTAAAAAAAAGTCTAATCAGGATAAATATTGGGAATGAGGTCACAAGACAACTACTAGCACATTTAAGACTCTTTGAAATTTAGACCCTTTTCATCATATTTTACGTATATTTTAGAATGAAATCAGAGTCCAAGTGAGAACTTGCAAACAGCACATGCAGAAAATAAATATGAATTAGTGAAAATATGTTTTAGCTAAAAGCACCACTTTATTTAGTTTGTCATGAAGAATTATACATATTTAGAAGATCTCTGATATTAGCACTCATGCCAATGAGCTAATAAATACCAGCCTGAACTCCCTTTGCTACCAACTGAAAAAAAAAAAAAAAAGAAGAACTCTCCATAAGGAGAAGTTTCAATTTAAGATCATAATCCTTTTGGGCCCGAGCAGTCAAGTTGATTCAGTGGGAGCACTTTTGTGGGTCGTGACCTTCACTGAGGCAGCAGATGCACCTCAAGTGGCCATCGCTCATTGGAAAGGCTTCCTGACAAGAGACACACCTCTTGAATCCTGGAGATCCCGGCATACTTCCAAGAGGGAGAGGTCCCAGTTAAGAAGGATGGGAAAATGGGAAGTGTCACATAACGGGGAGGGAAGAGAACAAAAAGTTTGGGTTTTTTTAAGGGAGAAAAACAAATGGAAACAGCTATATACTAAGGCAAACTAGGGAGAGTGTGACTAAAGACTAAGGTCTGGTCCACACTAACCCCCCAGTTCAAACTAAGATACGCAACTTCAGCTACGTGAATAACGTAGCTGAAGTCGAAGTACCTTAGTTCGAAATACAAGGTACTTACCGCGGGTCCACACGCGGCAGGCAGGCTCCCCCGTCGACTGCCCGTAACCCCCCCCCC